GAAAGTCCACCAATTGGCAATTAAGCTATTTGTCCTGCAACTCAATTCTCTTAGGACATTCTCTTATAAAGAAAAATATCAACATTTTATAATCATATTTCAACCCTAAATATATAAGTTAGGTTAATTAACATAATGTGGAGCTAAAACATGAATTCACTCAAAATCTCAGAAATGATCTTTACTGGAAACACAGGACTGTACAATTTTAATTTTATCACTCATTCGAAAGTGTGTGGGGCCAGCTCAATAGCACAGAAGTAAATGAGCTACTCAAGAGAGTTTCATCAAACTAGTTTTCCCACGTAAGTGCCGGGCATATGCCAAGTGTTGATTCAGTGGTTTTAGTCAAATATAGAGCAAAATACGGGATTATCTCAACATATAATAGTAAATACCATTATATTTATAGGAGGCAATACAAAAAGATTTGGGCTCAAAAGCTTGTCCTCCTTTCTTTTTGAGCATAATTTGCATTTTAAAATCTTGCTGGTGGGGCCACCAGGCAGTGTGGTAGTTAGGACACTGGACTTATACATGGTCAACTATGGTTTGAGTCCTAGATCCAGTAGCGTAAAAATCACACTGGGCACATGTGTGTGCATGTCCAAAATCTCAGGAGGAGATTGGAAGAGAAGCGACTGTGGTGTGTCCATTCCCCTGGGGATTTCTCACTTTCCCTCTCTCTGTCTCTCTTTGATGAGTGCATGTAACCTATGGCAAAAACCTAAAAAAAAAAAAAAATGTTGGCAATGATGTTTTTGCTCTGGTGAGTGCAACTAAGAATGGTACCACTGTAGTTTTTGTTCTTTTCTCCATCTTTTTTTTTTCTTTTTTTGGAGAGGTTTTTTTGTTTGTTTGTTTGTTTGTCTGTTTGCTATAGGGTGCGTGCGCTCACCAGACAGACAGAGACAGAGAGACAGAAAGCGAGAAATCACCCCCCAGGGAGGATGGCCATGCTGTAATCCCTTCTCCATTCTCCTCTTGGGATCTTGGGCATGCATGCACAAGCGCACGGTGTGAGTTTAAGCCACCAGGTCCGGGACTCGGACCGCGGTCGACTTGTGGGAGTCCAGCAACATAGCGATTACGCTAACTGCTGGTCCCTTTTCTCCATCTTTTATGAAAAATTTATAACTTTCATATTGTAAAGCGTTAACTGGAAAACATTTTTTTAAAACTCAGACAATTTAACCACAAAGATTCTGAGAACTATCTAAATAAGAAACCAGAACTTCAAAGATGACTTGGAAATATAATGGTCAATAGCCAAAATGCCAGAAATATAAGTATCTTGACTCAATAAAATTTAATTTTCACACACTCATTGTTATACTTCCTAGTGGCACTTTCCTTTACTGCCTTTGGATTAAATAGAAACATGTATTTCTATTTAATGTTTTTATTGAAGATATTTTTACTAGACAGATGCAGAGTACTCAGAATTATATACATATTACTACTTCTTCCTTTGCTCCTCATAGTAAAATGTAAAGCAACATAAAAAGAGTAGTAGGAGGGCCAGCAGGTGGCATGGTGCTTAAGGTGCTGGAATTCCCATATGGCCAGCCATGGTTTGAGTCCCGGACCTGGTAGCTTGCTTTCTCACTCTCCCTCTCTCTCTCTGTCTTTCTCTGGCAAAACTCATGTGAAAAATAATATTAACAATAATAATAATAAATAAATATTAAAAAAGAGTAGTAGAGAAAATTCCAAAATTAACAAATATAAACAAGACTATACAACTGATGTGAAACATTAGCCATAATGAAGATACCTTTTATAATTTCAGTATAATATGCTTTGCTTTTAAGAACAATACTTTTAGTGAAAATATTACTGTGAACATTAAATTCATCTTATTAGTCCACTTGTATAAATGTGACAGACAATTGATACCATCCTTTTTCCCCTCTGAAATTTCTGAATCACCCCCACATCAGTCCTAGCCTTCCCTAAACCATTAGTAACACTCATACCAACTTCACCATGGGCAAGGTTGTTAAGATATAGTTATAATTCCTATCCAAAGTCCCAACATTTATTTTTCTTTGAACTCTCATTCTATGTCTCCTTAGCAAGCTCTTTAAAGAAAAAGGCCCGTGTGATTGTTCGAACAGAAATTCATAACACATCGGCCTCTCTAGACCTAATTTTTCCCCCAAGCTTCAGACTTAGATGCCTACACGATGTCTTTACTTGGATATCTGAAAAGCATCATCAGCTTACTTGGGCAAAACAGAGTTCTTGGATGGTTTCCAAACCTGGCCCAGCTCCAAAGATACCCATCTCATTATATCATCATTTTTTCAGTTGTTCAAGCCCAAGTCAGAGAATCAATTAAGCCTTTTCTCTCTCAAATTCCATATATTCAAAACCTCGGCAAGTCCTATTGACTTGGCTCTCAAAAAACGTATCTGTCATCTGACAACTGCCCTCTACTTACATCTCTGGATCCTTCATTCAACCTGCCACCCAGTAGGTCATCTCTCACTTGATCTACTCCCTAACTTCATCGTCTCTCTTGTTTCTACTCTTGTATCCATATTGTTTTCTCACAGTAACTAGGCAGACCTTCTCAAGAAGCAGTCCAATCAGATGAAGCTTCCCAAATCTTTCTTCCTTTCATGCTTAAAATGAAGTCCTGTGTTCTTACTATGACCTGCAAGGCCTTATGTGATCTGCTCTCTCATGCCTCTAGAGAGCCTACCTCGCTTATCCCACCACAGACTTATCTACTTTGGGGGTGTTCTTCCCAAGGAGAGTTATTCTCAACTATGAATTTTCTGTACTTGTGATTTCTGCTGCCTAGAACATTAAACCCCATGATATTTTTTTGACTAGTGCTATTACTTCAATTGTTTTTGTTTTTGTTTTTGTTTTTGTTTTTGTTTTTTCCTGAACCTAAACTTAACTGAGCCTTACCTTGACCCTGTAATCCTGGCTCATTTTTCACCTTTGTCTTGTCTCTTTCTGGTATGGTACTGTATACTTACTCATTATAACTTTCCCCCACAGGAATGTAATTTCTATGAAGACTGAATTGATCATGAGCCAACTGATCAGAGGGCAGTGATATGTATTTTATGTGTCCTATCTTTGAGTAAGTTCCATGGAAATCAGAATAAGATGCAGAAGAGATAACAGAACTTCTAAAAGAAAAAGTAGGCCACCACATCTCAGGAGAATGGCACTTTGTGAAGAAAGAGGAGTGTACAGCAAATTTAGCCTTGGTCAACAGAGAGGCCACAGGCATTTAACTGAGAAGAGGTCCACAGTGTTCCTAGATATCTTCAGCCTTCCCCACTAGTGAAGAGCCAGTGGCAGAAAATTCATACACTGAGAAATATCCTTTTACCTTTTGATCAAATTCATAGGTTAAAACTTAGAGATGCAATTACAGTTATTTACTTAAGCCATGTTCAGTATTAACAAAATTAAATATTGAACAACTTCACCTGATAGAGATTTAGCACAAGCATAGTATAAGTCAAATCCCAGCAAAACCCAAGTTTTAACTGCATTGCATAGGGTATAGTTGATAGTTAGGATCACGTATGTCTCTGCTCTAGTTGATTAGGTCTTTCTTGCCTAGTTACTAATTTTTTTTTTTTTTGAGAGATTTTTGCTATAGGGCGCGTGCGCTTGCCAGACAGACAGAGAGAGACATAGAGACAGAAAGCGAGAAATCACCCCCCAGGGGGGATGGTCACGCCGCAATCCCTTCTCCTCCATTCTCCTCTCGGGATCTTGGGCACGCACGCACACGCGCCCGGCGTGAGTTTTAAGCCACCGGGTCCAGGACGCGAACCGCGGTCGACTACGTGGGAGTCCAGCAACATAGCCATTATGCTAACTGCTGGTTCCCTCTAGTTACTAATTTTAAACTAGCATTGTGGAAGAGAAAAATGCATATTAGCCAGAAGCAGAGCTGCAAACAGGAAGACTGGTTGATTATAAGTGTGCTTTGAGGGGCCAGGAGGTGGTGTGGTGGTTAAGGGCGCTGGACATCCATATGGCTGACTGTGGTTTGAGTTCTGGACCTGGCAGCTTGCTCTCTCTCTCTCTCTCTCTCCCCCTCTCTGAGCAAATAAAAATAAATAAATAAATAAAGTTAAATAAAATCATTCTTAAAAAACAAAAAACAAATGTGTTTTGAAATGTGTATGCCTTTTCCTACAATAGACTTTCCAGATAGTCACTGAGTTCAGCTGGCTTTGGAGAGGGTGACAGTAGGTAATTCATCACTGTAGACTTCTGGAAGGCAAATATGCTGGATTTATGGGCCCTAGGTTCTGCTTAATAAATTATCTAACACCTGGTGGGGAAGTGGTACTAGGCTGCTGAACAAAGCCATAACTTTGTGTATCTCAAGTGGCTGCTCTTGTAACCAATTACATTTCTTAATTGAGTAGCTGTTTCTACAAGTCAATACAGAGTACAAATAGTTCAACACACTTGTTTCACCTTAGCCTTCTTGATACCATTAGTCAGGAAGGCATTATAAAGATTCTCTAGAAAGGCAGACCAGCCTGTTCAGAGATTTTCCATGATTGTACTAGATAGAAATGTTTGGATAGCTATGACTGTAGTCAGTAGGTGGTTACTCCTTTAGATTTTCCTGTGAAAAACTTATTTGAGTGATCATCCACAAAATCTTAGCCCCCATTAATTGTGACTATGTCTACCTGAATTTCCAGGTGGCTTCCTGTGAAAAATGAATAGTTTAGATGACATACAACAGTTGTCTGCTGAGACAGTCCCTTCATTGGAACCATCAGATCAACATTTGGTTTTATGTGAATAGATGAATCCTGGATGGATCTAATTTAAGACTTCAGCAGACGAAATTACACTCTATCATCTGTCCAAGGAGCTAAAAACAGAAAGTTAAGATGTCGTTCCAGTCTTAACTATTTCAACTGTTTGTGTGGAAAAGACATGTTTTCTATTCAGAAGACATATGGCTGAATATAGTTATTAAAATCTCAGTGTCATACCTCTCGAATAGCTGTACAAAACTCACTCTGAAGCACTTTTTTGAGGGACTGTAGCTTGTGCACTGGTACTTCTCCAGATTCCTGTAGTTTTTCCAGTAATTCAATTGCTCTTGCAACATCTGAATGGAAAAAAAAAAAAATCAAAATGGAGAGACTTAGTGTAAACTGTATCTCATCAGCAAAGCACCACCATTCTAATTGAGTGGTAGCATCATTCCAATAGAAAACAAGGTGGAATTCATTGCAAAAGTAGAATTTATCATTCATAGTTTATTGATCTCTTTTTCTGGGGAAAGGTCACTTAAATCTGGTCAGCCAATTCATTACTTAATAAATCTTCTCTGATGGCATATCATGTATGTTATTTCTGTCACACAAATTTCAGGAAAGAAGAGCAGGAAAGATAGCCCTTATTCTGATACCCCAATAATTAAACTGATTTTTGCCCATTTTAACCTTGGAGATACTTTCTTTCAGTATGATATTTCCCATATCACATTCATTACAGCTCCAGCATTACATTTACTAGTATGATCATTTGATTAATATGTATCTTTTCCATCAGTCTATAAACTCCTTGAATGTAGGAACGTGTAGAGTTTGTCACTACTGCATCCCCAGAGTTTAGTGAATAAAACACTAGGTGAATAGGTGAACTAATTAACAGACTTTCTATTACACTGCCATTGCAGTATTTCAGGCCATCAACTCTCCTGTTCAGTCTCTTCATATTGCCCGCCAAGCTATTCTTTATAGTATCATAATTATAATTAGCATATACTAGTTACACATATTTATTGGGCACAGTGTTATTTTTTATTACATAAATATAAAGTGTCATGACCAAAATAGGGTGACAAGTCTATCAACCCTCCAGGACATTTAGTTTTACTTCTATGTTGTGAACATTTGAAATTGTCTCTTGGTCTCTTCTAGCTATTTTGAAATATCCATCAAACACAAAGTTACCTTCTGAAAACAAAATTCTGGTCATGTGCCTGCCTACTAGTTTCTACAATAGTACCAAGCAAAAATGATTTCAATAGCAATTCATTAAAATACTCTTGTTCACTAGACAATATTGAAATAATTTATCAATATTACTGTATCAAGAAACATATAATTTCATATTACCATAAACTAAAAGTTTAAACTTTTACATAATGTAGGTTATTTCATATTGCCAAGAGAAAATGATACGACTCAAGGCCACTTAGGAAATACCTGTGATCTCCTCTACCCCTGTTATTGTAATCAATAGCCCATTGATTTCACTCATTCAGGCATTGATGCAGCACAAGATTATGAATCCATCCATCTACCCCTCATCCACTAATTTGGGTTCCTTTTATTCCTGACACTAAAGAAGAATAAGACTCATTTTCTCTCTAAATACACAGAACTAACAGTCTAATGAAAAATAAATATAACAGCACAGCTACCTATAACAAAGTTGTTTCTACTTTAGAGTTTTGGTGGGATTAGTACAATTTATGTCTCTAATCAAAGAAAATAACCAGAGAGTTATTTTAATGAAGACTATCTATGCGGCAGTTATTTTGATTGCCAATTGCATCCAAAATCATGAAATCTATATGACACTGTTGTTTCCAAAGATGTCGCTTTGTACACAAATCAGAAGTCAACATAGTCAATTAGACAATGCTAGTTGTATCCACAGTCAATAGCGTACCAAGCTGAGCGGTTACACATTTCTAAATGCATAAAATACTCTATCTAGATGTCCACGGGCTCATGGAACTCTCAGAAGATTTAAACAGCTCATTTCTTTAACTTCTTTTGAAACTAGCTCTTGTCTCCCTAAACTCTACCTTCCCGTTAATACTATACCCACCCTGCCTGTCTCCCAAGGTAGGCCATAGCATTCATTACCTTTTACACTCACCCTCACAGGTAGTTAGCAAGCAAGTCCTTAGATTCCATCTCAGAGATGTCTTTTGAAGAAAGTCCCTTCCCTTCATTATTTCAGAAAAGCCTTCATTGTTTCTGTACTGAAATGCCTCTCAGCTGATGCCCTTTAAATTAGTTTTTTCTGGTCTAGCTGTGGTGGCGCAGGCAGTAGGGACACCATTGCACAATTGGAGACTCTATGAGAGGGCTCCTGGCTCATGTCCTGGGTCAACCTGAACACACTAGAAATGCCTGTTATCCTGCCTACTTTACAGCATGGTATCCCTGTCGAGGATGCCCCTTCCCCTCAGGAAACAGATAAGAAAACACTAAGTAATAATAACAAGTTAGTCTTTTCCTTTTCAGTCCATTCTCCATGCTGCTTCTGGAGTGACTGTCCCGAGTGATAAACCTGATTATTATTCTCCTGCACATAGAACCCTCCCTGCCTTCCCACTCCCTATTCAGTAATGTTCAGACCACTTAAGGTTACATTTAAGGATCTTAACTGTTGCCTCGTCTCATTCATCTGTGGACATCTTCTGTCCATGTATACTTTGGCCATCCAAAATTGTTTGCCATTCTGGGACCAGCAGTTGGCACAATGGCTATGTCTCTGGACTCCCAAGAACGACTGTGGTTCAAGTCCCAGACTCGGTGGCTTAAACTCATGCCAGGTGCATGTGCAAGTGTGCCCAAGATCCCAAGAGGAGAAGGGATTTTGGCATGGCTGTCCCCCCTGTGGGGGGGGGGTGATTTCTCACTTTCTGTCTCTCTGTCTCTCTCTTTCTGATGAGTGCACAAATCCTCTGCCTCTGTGCTTGGCACATATCCTCTGTCCCTAGGATACAATTTATTTTATTCATTTTTTTCATTCAGTAGTGCCTGGCACTGCATATATTCAAGACACAGTAGTACAGGACTGAGGCCTTTTTCTTGTTTTCATGAAACTTAACAGACTTGAGGGGCCACCAGAGTACAATAAAGTGGGCATGTGCTATAAACAAAGCACTGCAGGCCAGTCCATGGACCAATAACGAAGACATTTATCATCATCCAGGAAGTCGGGGAGGATCTCCTTGTGGAAGGAACAGCTAAGCAGAGTCCTAGGTAAGAGGTGCAAGTAGAGATGGGAAAAGAATATTCAGGCAAAAGGAACAAATGCAAGGAAGGCTTGTTAAGAGAGTGTGGGACATTCATATAACTGAAAGGAGATCAGTATGACTAGACCTGAAACCAGCATGAGAGTAGCAAGAGATCAGTAACAACAGATGAAGGAGACAGAATTCACTTCATGGAGGGTGTTTCAGGCCATGCAAGGAAGACGTAGTTTAAGCAGCACCTCCTCAGACATGTCTTCTCTGAGTCTCCAGGGTAGATTTAGTTGCTATCATATCTGTATTCCCACAACTCTTTGTTCACTCATCTACTGTTCACTGCTGTAACTCTTTATGCACGTATATCTCCCTCCGTCATTCTTGCAAATCTATACACTTTTTTTTTGGAGAGATTTTCACTATAGGGCGCGTCTGCTTGCCAGACAGACAGAGAGAGACATAGAGACAGAAAGCGAGAAATCACCCCCCAGGGGGGATGGCCACGCTGCAATCCCTTCTCCTCCATTCTCCTCTCGGGATCTTGGGCACGCACTCACACGTGCACTCCGTGAGTTTTAAGCCACTGGGTCTGGGACGTGAACCGCGGTCGACCACGTGGGAGTCCAGCGACATAGCCATTACGCTAACTGCTGGTCCCCTGCAAATCTATACACTTCTTGAGGTATCAGGGAAAATATCATATTTGTCATTGTATCCACAGCCCATTGCAGAGTACCTGGTGACTATTTAGTCTTTAATGCACAGTTGTGGAAGGAATGAATGATTAAATAATGAGACCTCTCAGGAAAACAGGCATTAGTCTAAGTCTGTGTGGAACCATAATTTCTCCTGAATCTAGACCTCTAGCTCACTAACAGCCTTGGTCAAACCTTTCTCGGGTCTAGTGGAGGGTAAGTAGGCAAGCCCGAATTTGTAGGCTGAACAGTATTAATGACTACACTAAGGAAGTGCAGAACCTGGATATGCAGTGGTTTTCAACTTGGGCTGTGCATTAAAATTACCTACAGTTCACATAAAATTATTAATGCCTGAAATCTATTATAAATGAATTAAATAGAGACTCTAGAATGGCAGTTCTCAGCCTTGACTACATACTAGGCTTCCCTGGAGAGCTTTAAAAACCCAGATGCCTGGATCAATACCACCCTTAGAATATAAATATAAAAGGGCAGGGGCTAGGAGTGGGGCTTTTTCTTTTTCTTTTTTTTTTAAAGCCAGAGATTTTTGCTATAGGACATGTGCTAGAGAGACAGAAAGTGAAAAATCATCCTCCAGGGTATGGCCACACCACAATCCCTTCTCTTCCATTCTCCTCTTGGAATCTTGGGCACACACGCACATGCACCCGGCATGAGTTTTAAGTCTCTGTGTCTGGGACTCAAACCACAGCTGACTACATGGGAGTCCAGCAACATAACCATTATGCCATCTGTTGTTCCCAGGGCATGGGGCTTTTTAAGTGTTTCGGGTGATGCTAAAGTGCTGGCATGGTTGAGACCATTCATTGCTCTAGTTAAAATTCCCTATGTGATTGTAATGTGCACCCAGCAGTGAGAACCTCTGTTTCGGAGTCATTACTATAAACCATGAATGTGCCTAAGAATCACCTGGAAAGCTTATTAAAATTTAGGCTCCTAACCCTTATGCCTAGATAAGAGATGTTGATTCATTTGGTATGAGGATAAGGCCCAGGATCTGTCTTTTAAAGAAATGTTCAAAATGCTTCTGCAGTTGTTGACTTATAGACCTTAGAAAGAGAAGAGTGATACACATAAAGAAACACACTACAGGTGGCAAATGCCAAAGGAAATCTAAAAACTTAGAATGGAGTATCAAGTCTCCCCAGCCCCAGCCTGGCTGGTGCTGGGAACAGAGGTGTTGAGCTGTAACTGGAAATAAAACTTTAGTTAAACAGAATTTTTTAACAGAATTCTGGTTCACTTTAGCTCTGCAAAAGTCCCAGAAACTACAAGACCAGGATCTAGAAAGAAACAAAAGAAGTCGCTGAGTCAGCAAAATGCTTATTTTTAAAACTATTGTAATAGAGTGTGTGGTACATTCACGAGTCTTCTGAAGGTTCTTGTTC